AAGTAAATATATAAACACTGATATGTTTTAATTACCTCACCCATCCCACCCCCCTTTTTTTTTTTGCTTTGATGCTAGATATTTTTGGAGCGAATGGAGCCAGAAGGAACTCTAGAATCAGAGGGTTCGGAAAAATCATTATTTTCCTCACAGCAAGACTATGAAGAATCCCAAGAAACAGATGAAACAGGCCCGGAGAACCCCCTCTTGCAGCCGGCTCTCACCGGGGATGTAGAAGGCTTGCAGAAGATTTTTGAAGATCCTGAACATCCTCACCATGAGCATGCTATGCAGCTGCTTCTGGAAGAAGACATTGTCGGGAGAAACCTGTTGTATGCAGCTTGCATGGCTGGGAAAAGTGATGTAATTAGAGCCTTGGCAAAGTATGGGGTGAATCTGAACGAAAAAACCGCCAGAGGTATTTCATCTTCCATCAGTATCACTTGTGACCTCCTAAGGATGCGCCTCACAGTCTTTGTGATTAGATAAGCTTGATGTGCCTGCTTTATACTTTACATAACTATTTCAAAAAATTTTTTAATTTTTTAAATTAAAGCAAAGAGTTAAGTTCATTTTTATCAAGCCCAAACTTATTGGCCAGTTGTGTTTATGCCATGAATGAAAGATTGGTTATAACATTAGAAAGAAATTCCCTACACTAAAAGATTAAGCAAACAGGGTTTCAGAAGTAGCTCAGTTGGTAGTCTGAGCTTTCAGTGTGTACAAGGCCACAGCACACCTATTGGGGCCAGCACAACATTGTGGAGTTGGCTCTCCTTTCACTTTTATGTGGGTTCTAGGGATTGAACTCAGGTCATCAGGATTGTGTAGCAAGCACCTTTACCTGCTGAACCATCTTACCAGCCCCTCTAAAAGAACCTCCAAAATTGAGCCCAAATAAACCTTATTTTCTTTATAAGCTAATCCTTTCGTAATCATTATGATAACTGAAAGTTGACTACTAAAAAACCTGGTTTTTATCTGATATAAGCATTACTACTTTTTCTCGGTATTGTTTTCTACTTGTAGGGAGTATCTCTTTTCCATCTTTTAACTTACTGTCTAGTCTACATGTTTTATTATCAATAGGTGAGTTTGTTGTAGGCAGCATATAGATGGGTATTGTTTCTTCTTTTCCCTGCCGTTTTATCTTTTAATTAGGGACTATTAACCATCTAAATTAAAGGTTATTATCAGTATGTAACAATCTACTCTTGTCATTTTGTTGGTTATGTCTGTTTTACATATCCTTTGTTCCTTTCTGTTATACTGTCTTTGAAGATTTGTATAGTTCTGAGGTTCATTTTTTTTTCTTTGTGTGTCTATGTGCTGGATAGTTTTATGTCAACTTGACACGAAGTCGGATCATCTGGGAAGGGGGAACTTCAATTGAGAAAGTGCCTCCATCAGATTGGTCTGTCAGCAAGTCGGTGAGGTGTTTTTCTTGATAATTATATGGGAGGGCCCCGCCCACTGTGGGTGTTGCCCACACCTGGACCGTGGTCCTGGGTTGTATAAAAAGGCAAGCCATGGAGAGCAAACCAGTAAGTAGCACTCCTCTCTGGTCTCTGCTTTAGTTCCTTCCTCTTGGTTTCTGCCCTGCTTGAGGTTGTGTCTTGACTTCCTTCATGATGGACTGTGAGCTGTGAGCTGTAAGCTGAAATAAACCCATTGCTCACCAAGTTGCTCTTGGTCATGGGGTTTATCACAGCAACAGAAAGAAAACTAAGGGGGCTACCTCTCAAGTTACTCTGTTTTTCAGTAATCTATACAAATGGATTTTTTCACTCTCAGAATCATCCAAAATCCTTCCCTTTGTTTCTGTGGGATTTTAATCCTCCTTCTGTATTCTCCTTTTTGGGATCTAAAGCTCATTGCCAATGTACAAGGAGAGGTTTAGGAAGGTCCCATTCTATTTCACTTTTCTTTTTCTTTTCTTCTCTCTCTCTCTTCTTTCTTTTTCTCTCTCTTTCCTTCTTTCTCTTTCTTTCTTTCTTTCTTTCTTTCTTTCTTTCTTTCTTTCTTTCTTTCTTTCTTTCTTTCTTTCTTTCTTTCTTTCTTTCCTTCTTTATTTTAAAAGCAAGATCTCACTATGTAGCCCTGGCCTGGAACTTGATATGTAGACAAAACTGGCCTTAGACATACAGAGATCTTTATGCATCTTTATGCTTCTAGCTCCCAAGTGCAGGGATTAGAAAAATGTGCATCAGCACATTGGGTCAAAGGTTCCATTCTCATCTGAATGTTTTCCGGAATTTTACATTTGTGTGTGTGTGTGTGTGTGTGTGTGTGTGTGTGTGTGTGTGTGTGTGTGTGAATGCTGTGGTGCATGTGTGGAGGTGGGAGGACAACTTATAGGAATCTCTTCTACTGTGTGAATTCTGTGGATCAAACTCAGGTTGTCAGGCTGAGTCAGGCAGCAAGCGCTTTTGATCACTGAGCCATATTCCTGGTCCTGAAATAATGTTGAGAGGATTTTCTTGGAATAGTGATGGTGTTAATGTACTACAAAGTGTCTTTTTTTTTCTCCAAAATGGACTGTTTCCAGCAAAAGAATTAAAAACATGTTGAGGTTGAAAATACCTTGATAAAAGTTTGTTTAAAATAGTTTCATTTTAAACTGATTATATTAAACTATACAGCCCCCTCCACCCCTACTTTTCAGCATCACAGTGAGTTTAATAAATAGATGATGCCTTGAATTATTATTTCAGCTTTGAGAAAAGCAGTACAGGGATCCAGATTATCTCCCATGTGGACTGGCTTCTTGGTCAGACTTGCAGTACCTTGTCTATGGACAGTGTCTTTCTCCAGATGAATCAGGGACCTTGGGTCATTCAGCTAATGGAAGATTTCTACCTTCAGGCTAAAGGCAGGAATAATAAGGGTGGTATCTGGTTATACCTTGACTCATCATTTTGTAGTCTGTGGTCTGAGGATGTCCCCTACCAAATTCATTGTTGGGAATGAATGCCAATGCAGGAGTGTTGGGAAGGGAGTCCTTGTGAGAAGTGTTTATGTCATGAGGACATTTCACGGATGAACAGCGGACTCATGCCACTGTACTGAAGGGTGGTGAGAGCATCAGTCTTCTTCCCACTGTGTGAGGACTCAGCAAGGACTCACACCACTGGTCTGACCTTGGACTTCTTACACCTCTACATTGTGAAGGATAAATTTTGTTTTAATTTACTTGGACAGTGGTATTTTATAGTAGATTAAGATTGTCAAGAATAAAGACATCATACAAACCTCGAGCCAGGTTCTGGCTCTTAGAGTTCTTAAATATTTTGCTTATTGTGGTGTTAAAAAATTGTGGATGCCAAAGAGTTCCAATTTTGGGCAGAGCTGAAAGTAATTCACTTTGGAGTCTTTTTTTTTTTTTTGTACAAATTCTCACTATGTAGCTCTGGTTGTCATGGAACTTACTATGTAGAACAGACTGGCCTCAAACTCACGGAGGTTTATCTATCTGCCTCCTGAGTGCTGGGACTAAAGGTGTGCATCTCCATGCCCAATAGGGGTTTTTGTTTTGTTTTGTTTTGTTTTGTTTGAGACAAGGTCTCACTATGTAGTTTTGGCTTTTCTGAAACTCACTATATAGACCACATCACTTTGGACTCTTCATTAACATTTTATTGTCCCTTCTGGTTATGATGGTTTACAAGTTGGGCTCAGGTAGGCTCAGGGTTGTGGCACTGTGGTGACTAGGGAACCAAGAGGTTTCTGGAAGAAGAAGAGTCACTACTGTAACTTCTTTTTTCCTAGCTCGTTCAGAGATTAGCACGTGGGTGTGTCTTTCTTTTCTTTATAAACTCTGTATGAAAACACACCCAGGTTTTGATCTTACTTTGGCTATGTACTACCAGTGTGGCCTTGGGAAAGTATAGACTCGCTGACCCTTACTTTTCATTCCGTACTGTAATGAGGCTAATACCTTCCTCATAGAGCTATTGCAGTGATAAACAAAGGACATACAAAGTCCTGGTATGTCATAGTTCCAACACATTAGTTCCAACACATCAGCTCTTTGTGCCTTGTTGGCTATTTAAGGCAGCCACTAAACCTATTCTTAGGGGTAAGTGTAGTGAGTTATTACAACTTATATTGACTTAGCTTCTCCTGTGAAAAATTTCATACCAGAAACATGGCTCAGTTACCCTTGGTGACTACACCACATCCAGATGGCTCAGGCTTGTGGCCAGAGATAAGAATTTAGCAGCATCTCTTCTGCTAGCCGTGTGTGTGCATGTGTGTGTGCACATGTGCGTTTGTGAGTGTGTGTGTGTGCATGCACACACACATGTGCTTTCTTTAAATGAGCCATTCTGGAATTTGCCACAAATCTCAAAGTTACAATCTATTCCCTTATATATGTCACCAGCTGTCACATTTTCTACTTTGAGTGACCTGTAAACCAAGGACTGACTCACACTTTCCCTTAGCCAGGATCTATAAGTGAAAGTGTTTTTCTTTCCCCGATACTGTAATGGTGATTTGAATCTGCAACTTCTGACAAGCCCGAGGCTACCCAAAGCCAGAATTTTCCTGGATGCATCAAGAACGAAAGGTTGGGTTCTTAAGACAAGCGTTGGCCAGGCAGTCACTGGGGATGGGTCAAATGAGAGCCCCCAGGTCACCCACCAGTGTACATTTTTCCTGTGTGAAAGATTTTCTGGTTGTACAAGGCATGGGGCACACTATGAGCCCCCAACTCCCAAGCTCTTCTCGAGGGCTAATAGACACTTTGGTGTTGGAAACCCAATTTAGATAATTTTTAATTGCTTTCTAGAACACAGAACCTTGCGCATGTTAGGCAAGAGCTTTGCCACTAAGCTATGTCCTTAGCCCTGGCTCCCCAATTTAAATGGGACCCCTCAAAACAACGGAACAAAGATCTTTGATTTTTATACAAATCAGCGCGAGAAACTCTTGAAGGTGCACCCCATGTTTCCTCCTTTGCTGCCATACCTCAGTCAGTCCAAGAAATTGCTTTCTCATTTGGCAAGTCATACTTTCAGCTTTAATTCAAAAGATTAATTTGCAAACCAAAGCATACACAGTGATAGGAGATTAACAGTAAAGCTAGGGTAATTAGAGTCTGACGAAAATTCCTTAAAATCATAATAGGCTGCGGGTTCCGAAGTTGACGCCTGCTGAGGGGGTTGCCATCTTTCAGCTGTGGAGGAGCTCAGGAGGCAGGCTGCCCGCGTTGGTATCTTGCATCCATCATTTTACTGACTTCGTTCCTTGAGCCAAGTTTCTGAATATCTCTGAATTTTAGTTTCCTTGTCTGTAAGATGAGGATTATAAGAATTCTGATGCTATAAGGTCTCTAAAGTTCAATGAATTTACAATGCAGAACACTTAGCGCCTAGCTCATAGTAACTGTTCAGGACTTGATTATGTTCATGATCTGCTACGTAAAATAGTCTGGAGTAGCATACAGCTGTACCTTGACTTGTGATGAAGTCATGACCCAGTGGACCCATTATAAAGTCCTGTAAGCAGAAACATGCTTTTCACATAGCTAGCCTGATCGTCATAGTATAGCAACACTGTGTACCAGAGAACACACCTGGGAGCTGGTTTTCCCTGCGATTACATGCCTGTGTGGGAGCTGCTGCTCTCTGCTGCTGTCCAGCATCAGTGCATCAGAGTGTTGGAACACGTTACTAGCCTTGGAAAAGACTGACCATCAATGTTCCAAGTGTGCTTTCTACAGAATGTGAATGCTTTTTCTGCCATCGTAAGGTTAAAAACTCCTGTCAAGCCACCCTACGTCTGTTTGACCTGACTGTCTTCACTCTGATAGGGTACACGCTCTTACACTGCGCTGCAGCCTGGGGCCGCCTGGAAACTTTGAAGGCCCTGGTGGAACTGGATGTTGATATAGAGGCCTTGAACTTCCGGGGAGAGAAAGCTCGGGACGTTGCCGCTCGCTATTCTCAGACTGAGTGCGTTCATTTTCTGGACTGGGCAGGTAAGGAGCACATGTGATGTTAAGATGGTTAAGAGCATGGAAGGAGATGGTTAACATTTCTACCTTCCAGCTAGGTGCTGTATTTTCTTTTTCTTTTTTTGAGACAGGGTTTCTCTGTGTAGTTTTGGTGCCTGTTCTGGATCTCACTCTGTAGACCAGGCTGGCCTCGAACTCACCGAGATCCGCTTGGTTCTGCCTCCCGATTGCTTGGATTAAAGGTGTGTGCCACCACCACCACCACCACCACCACCACCGCCTGGCTTATATGCTGTATTTTCTATTGTCAATCTATGAAGATTGCCTTCATTTTTTTCTTTTCTCTTTTACTTTGCTATTGAGTAAAGTATTGCTCTTAACTCCTCTTTCTCTCTCTGTATATGTGTCTTTTTGGTTTACCAACTTCTAACAAGTTAAGCAATAAATTATACATGCAGAATATGTTCAAGGTTGTTTTCTGAGAGAATTGTGTGTGTGTGTCTTGTTGATTTACCAACTCTAACAACTTAAGTAATAAATACATGCAGTATATGTTAAAGATTGTTTTCTGAGAGAACTGTAAGTGTGTGTGTGTGTGTGTGTGTGTGTGTGTGTGTGTGTGTGTGTGTGTATCTTGTTGATTTATCAACTTTTAACAACTTAAGGAATAAATTTCCATGGGAGGATACATGCAGTATATGTTCAAGGTTGTTTTCTGAAAGACCCAGGCAAAGTACACTATTCCTTAAATGCTTACGTTGCTTATGTATTAGCATATTTCAGTAATATATTTGCCCTCCCCAGGGAGAAAAATTGTTATAAAAACATTTTCCTAGGAAAAGTTAACCTATGGTGTTAGTAACCCAAATCACAATTACCTCTGGCATGAGAGGGCTTCTGAGACCTGTTATTTTTCTCAATTTGTCCCCTGATTGTATGTTATTTATGAAAGTTCATTGAGATGTACACTTAACATTTTTCATTTCTTTTATGCATATTCTACTTCAACAGAGTCCAGAAATCTATGTTCTACCTTGAATTTTGCTGTCATTCTCTACATCTATAACAGACAGCTTGAAAAGCCTTTAGGAAGACATACCTGTGTAACTCGCTGTGTGTACTTATAAACTTCAAACCAGTTTTTTATCTGAATATATGTGCTTAGCAAGCTTTTGTGGAATGCCCACTACTAAATATGGTAATATGGTTGTAGGCACAACTTGTTTTTTCTGCCATCTGGACTTTTTTTTTTTTTGGAGGAACAATCATCTAGAAACTATTTGGCAATTATATAACACTATGAGAAAGATGTGACTATAAAGAGAAAGGTTAAAGGTAAACATTGGCAGGAAAGGCAGTCCACGCCCTGAAAGAGAACAGGAAGCCAGCTTGCTGGAGTTCACCTGGGCCTTGCCCAATGAATGGGATTTGAATACACAGTGGCAGAGCTAAGAGCACAAGCTGAGTGTTAGATCTGGGGATGGGCGGGTCAAGATTGCCTTACTGGAGCTCACGTCATAGCTCCCACAGGTAATCTGGAGTGTACATGGAAGGGGTAAGCACACGGTCTCTGAAGGACGCTTGGGTTTGAATCCTACACGAGTGTGAGTAGAGTACCCTAATTCTTTGTACCCAAGTTTCCTTTTCTGGAAACAGGGGCCAATAATTGATCCTTCCTCTTGAGATCGGTGAAAACTAAATGATACAGTGTAAAGCACATAGCAACTACCTGTCATGTTGAAAAAAAAATAGTCAAGCTGAAAAAAAAAATGCGGCTGCTATAATTACCACAGGTTTATACCTGCAAGTGCCAGGTTAAGGTGTTTTCATTTTATTCTGGGAGCCACACTAGTAAGTGTGGATTCTTTTTCAGTTGAATGGAAATCCAGACTTGTCTGAAAGTTTTTTCAGTGAAGGTCGTGGCAAAAAATAACCCTACACCAGCTCCCAAAGAAACCTTTTCATCCTCAGATAGTCCTGGAAATACATTTCTTTTGTACTCTTCTGAACTTGACTGAGCTACATTGCATGGGCATAGGTTTAGTATCCTTTGGCTCCTCTCCCCCTTCGCTCTTCTTCCTCTTTACTCTATGGTGTTGCTTAACTTTCTTAAAGGAAGAATGTTGGGACACCTGCTTCAGGAACTTGGTCATCATTGATGTTGTGGCCAGCAGTCTGCAGAGGATCTGTTCAATGTCATAGATGGATGCACTCTCTAGGTCATCGCCGTGTTTCTCTAAAGAGGCTTGCTTTTTCAGCTGAAAGAGCAAAACACACGATTCTTGTCTTGTTTCAGAGTAAACTTATATTATGGATAGCAAACTTAAACACTACTAAGATGTAGATATCACATATTTATACAAAAAGGAAGGTTTTTCTAGAAGGCCGAAGCACAGAAGAAATGCCCTTCCTTGATGTGCGACACAAGACTAGATTGATCGTTGTCGCCACCAGCCAACGTTGGTTAGAGTTTTCTAGGGTTAGAGCCTGTTGCCAAGAGAAATTAGGATGGTTTCCTTCAGGACATGGAGAAATTGAGTCAGTTCTGACCTGATGGCTTCCTCCCTGCTGGCTCGCTCCCACAGTTTTGGAAGGGGCTAGATATGTTGCCCTGGTCTTACCTGTGAACTGCAGTAGTGACTGGCATGGTAAGGTGTGTCCATGGGTGCAGTAATGGCATGAATATCACAAAGGTACCCAGTGCTTTCTGACTGGATTTAAAGCCTGCTCATAGGAGGAAACACATGCCTGGGACCGCATATCTGGCCAAGAACCCATGGGTGTGGAGCTCACAGGTCCCATTGGTGAACCTACTAATATTGTTTTGCTAAATGGGCATAGTATCAAACTGCACTCTAAATTTGTATGTCCTGCACTCAGAGCAACTCTCTGACCTCATCAGAAAAATTTCTTTGTGCAGTGGATGACAGTTCATGCAGAAACTTAAAACTGCTCAAAGTGCAGAGAGTGGAGCACCCAGACATAAATGTGAATCTATACCACACCCCACCCCTCAGGCATCATGGAAGAGGAGGGCAGAAAGTCTGGAAGAGCCAGAGGTCAGAGAGGACCTGAGCAGAACAGTATCTTCTGACCATGGCAGGAATGGAACTGAACAGCACCTGTGATTGCCTGCACAAGAGCCCCACAAAGATCAGGTCAAGTCTCACTCTAGCACGGCATAGGAGGGCTCAGAAGCCCTCACCCCTAGATGAGGAGCTATGGATAACTGACAACTTCAGGGGAAGGTGGAGCTAGTTTTCTTTAAGTGCGTGGCTCCTGGCAGGTTGACCTGAATAAAAGCACTCAGCAGTACCTGGAACATAAAATTAAGATTATTGTTAAGGGTTGGGGGACACAGCTCAATGAGTTGTAGAGAGCTTGCCTAGGATGTAGGAGGCCCCGAGTTTAATTCCCAGAACCAAATAAATAAAAAAAATGTTTTCCCTTACTAAGCAAGATCACTGTAGAATACAATCATATTTTAAAAACAAGAAAACATATACTTAGATCATTCTGAAGGTCAAGGAGATGTGTGCACAGGTGTTTAGCAGCATTTTTGTATAATTCTCGAATTATAGTGCCATCTATTGGCAAAACTGGGGATGAAGCACTATTTCCCGCCAAATCCTAACGTTTAGAAATCAGTTTACAGCCCGATGGGAAGCTCATGCCAACTTTTGTAGTGAGCATTGATAGACTTGCAGGCTCTCCAAGAGACCCCCTCATTTCAAATCATTTTATGGGGAGGCTGAGAAAGAACATATAACTTACCGAAGGACAGGCAGGTAACCTCACTTCCTATAACCCCACCTACCACATCTCAATGTTTTGGTGCATTTTGTAACTTGAAAGCAGGAGTAGGGAGATGATTTTAAGGGCCTTCTGATTAAATGCACTTCCATGGGACTCGTAAGTGTTTGCAGGACATGGCTAGATAATGGAGGTGGGGGCGGGTGAGTGGGGAAGCAGGGAAGGATAACTTCAGAGAACTGGATAGCTCTCCGATTCTTCAACTCCCCCTACTTGCAACACAAACTCACCTTTCTTTGGTGTTTCGTCCATTTCATCCATAGGTAATGCGCAGATAAAACAAACAGGATTAAGAAGAGCGCTTGTACCAAGATGTACAAGAGGCGTAAAGAACTCTGGACGAGGTCCAGGTTAGCAAAGTTGCAGCAGAGTTTGTCCAGAGGGTAAGGTAGGCAGTGGGATGAGGAAGCCTTAACTTTCAGGTAGCGCACTTCATCAGGAAAAATCTCCCATCCGACCTTGGTCCAGGTGGTCCCATCACAAATGCAGACGCCCTCTCTGAAGACACAAAGAAACAGCAGCGGGAAAAGCACAAATCGTCTCCAGTTAGACATCTTCATGTCCTAACTGAGAAGAAAATCTTGAGCTAAAAAAATTGGTCAGACAGAGCAGAAGAAGCCCCAAGCACTAGGTAATGTGGCGCTTCCGTCAAGGACTTTCAGATAATCCTGTTAGACAGCCCAGCAAAATACACAATGAGGATCATTGTTACATCGTCAGGCATAGTGACTCAGGGTAAGTGACTCAGTGACATCATAAAAAATGCACTGGGATGAAAAGGTGTACCCACCTAATCACCCCAGATTTCTTGAAAATGAACAATCTGCTAATATTTTTGCCAGGGAATGTATTTAGCAATAGGTATGCCATCATAATGATAAAACCCCGTGAATAGAAACAAACAAACAAACAAACAAACAAACAAACAAACAAACAAACAAAATCCCCAAAGGTAGTGAAGTCTTGCTATGCAGCAGCCAAAAGATCAGCTGCTTTGGACCCTGTTGTCATATGAAAAGCAGACTCTGAGAGGGAGAGGTTGGATGTTTAGATAAGATTTCCAAGCCAAACGTGGAAGGTGTAGCAGCTCGTCTTTTTCTTGCTGTCTATAGTAAAATGGGAAAGGAAAAGGATAAATTACTGGAAGAACTGCCAAGCAAAAGGGGAACAGGGCTTGGCAGTGTGGGAATGCAGCACAGGCAGATCGCAGGACAAGCTGCTGTGGTTTGAACTGTGTTCCCCGAAAGCCCCTGCACCCAAAGGCATCCTCCTCAGTTTGGTGCTATCGGGAGTCAGTGGAGACTTTGAGAAATGGGACCTAGTAGGAGGTCTGGTCACTGGAGATGGGCTCTTGCAGGGACTGGTGGGCTCTCAGCCCCTTCCTGTCCTTTACATTTGTTCTTGACCCCGAGGTCTTTGTTCTCACACACTCCCTGTTAGAATGCTACCATGTCATAGACCCAAAAGCAACAGGATTAACTACCCAGAGACTGAAACCTGAAACTTGAGCCGAAATAAACTTTCTCTCTTTATAAGTTTCTTATTTCAGTCATTTTATTACAGTGACAGTCTATTAATAACATAGGTACTAAATATTAAAAGAGTCCCAGTGAAGACAATAAGCTTTGGAGGGAAAGACATCGTATGGATGGACAGTTTTTTTTTTTTTTTTTTTTTTTTTGCTGCTGAATTGTTGGGGAGTACATGTCACGAATTCTCCCAGCCATTGATGCAGAAGTCAGGATGGAACTTAAATTATCCACAAAAGATCAGGAGGAGCCTCTTTCTGACTAGATGAATGTCTGTGATGTGTCTCACAAGGATTTTGAGAGTGTTACATTGATAGAAATACCATTTTCAATAAAAGGACAGAGAGAATTAAAATAAAAAGAAGAGTATTGGCCTACCAAAATGTTGTAGGCAGGAACAGATTAATAAAGCTATTCAGCTGCTAGCACATGCTTTCTTTTTCCATTCTCCCTGCCTCCCTTTTCATTCCTTCTCCTCCTCTTCCACATCCTCCTGAAGCAGGGTCTTACCATGAGGTCCAGGCTGTCCTGGAACTCTATGTAACCCAGTCTGGCTTTGAACCCACAGATCTTCCAGCCTCAGCTTCTTAAGTTTTGGAATTATATCTTTGAACTACCAGCTCAGCTTACATGATACAATTCATGAAAAGGGAAAGATGATTCAGTGCAGAGGATGGAGAGAGTTACCCCCAGGTCTGAAACCTAGTGGAATTTGTATGCTGTATTTTGAAATGATTTTGAACGGCAATGCCTATGACTGTGTTCTGTGCTTGTGCCACCATTATAGTTTGGAAGAAGAGAAATAGTTTCTGGCTCACCAGGTCCACACAGAGAGAGGAATTTTTGGCCTAGGACAGATCACATACAATCTCACCCAGACCTTGTACACATGCTTGAGAGGTTGAGGTTTGGATTTCTGAGCTGTGATTCTTTAGATGAGAATTCGGGTTTGAGTTGATATGGTCATACCTTTTGGTGGTATTGGGGTGGGGTAGATGTATTTTGCCTGTGAAATGCATCTGAATTGTGAGTGGATGAGAGAGAAGGCTGTGGTGGGCTGGATAATGGCTACCAAACATTTGATTCAGATCCCTGAAATGTGTGACTGTTGCATCATACAGCAAAAGAGACCTTGCAGATTTTTGACAGATATGGTCAATTTGAGACCCAGTCATGTTTTGTATTTCTTTGGGCCTTCAAAAATCCTGTCCTAATTCTAGGTACACACTGAGTGCTCTGAAGTGATGTGCCCTTGAGTGCTGTTTTTCTGAAGTCCTCAAAGACAGTGACAGTGGACTGTCTCCACAAACCTTTCAAGTTCTGGCTGTGTGATGGGCTGCACAAACAGTGCAGTTTGCCTTTTGTGTTTTTTCTTATTTTGCATTTTTCTGTCATGTTTTTTCAGATGCAAGGCTGATTCTGAAAAAGTTTATTATAAAGTCCTCTCTCATCGTTACTGAACCGGAAAAGGGACCGGGGAAACTCCTCAAGGATGACAAGGTACCGCGTTGTGATCATTACCTGTCCTGATGTTCTAGAGGTAGACAGTTCTCCTTAATGCTCCCCTCTCCTTCCTCCCGCTCCTTCCTTTTCCTCCTTCTCTTCCTTCTCTCCCCCTTCTTTAGTGAGCTTCTGATAAGCGATGATACAAAGTAAATGAAGTTGATACACAAAATATTATACCTGGCCGCATGGGTGAATGTTAGAACGTTGTAGTGAGTGAAAATTTGGAAAAACAGACAAACCAACTAAAACTTGCCAAGGTTTTTAGGAAGCTAATCCACCCTTTCAGCATATTGTCGGCAATACCTATTTTAATCATAAAACTACAAAGGGAGAAGCATGGATCATGCTTCTGCCTCTGGGGGAAGTAGCCAGAGGTGAGGAGGAATTGGGAGCTGTTAATTTTCTATTCATCTGTTGGAGTACTGTGCTCCTCTGGTATCCAATTCCATATTTTGCTTCAAAGCTTAAAGCATACATGATACACTTTAGTATGTATACATATTACATGTATCAAACCTTCCAAAATGAGAAAAAGTAAAAAAAAATTGATTTGGATATACATTAAAATTGTACACAATAAGCAGGTATAGTGGCAGCCTGTGTTTCAACAGTTGGGAATCTGAGGCAGGAGGATTACCTTGAGTTCTAGACAAAACTGGCTACACTCTGAGAACCAGGCCAGCCAGGGCTACACAACAAGACTACATATATTCCAGGTATTAGAGGCTCTAAATTGCTCTCTGTGTTGTTATGTAGGATGCATGAGAATTTGTTTTGACATTATTTGATGAAAATCAAAGTTAGCTGTTGCTTAACGAGCATCAGATAATCTCACTAAGGCACACATTGTACTTGTAGCTTCATAAATGACATCATATTTCTTGTGAAAGAAAGTACAGAAAACATTTGATTAGAGCAGGAACTGGGGCTCTTGGACCTGCACTCACAGGGCTCTCACCACGAAGGGACAGTGCTTTGTCAACTGTGACAAAAAGCCTTTACATTTCAGCAAAAATGTAATATTCACACACCATTAATTAGAAAAAAAAGTGATCCAAAACAAATGAAATGCCCTTCTCATTTCCAGTTTTATTACCCTGGAGTTCTGATAGTGATTTTATGTTATTTTCATCATATTTTACTCTTTATTTATATAAACACGAATAATAGAGATTTGTAAAGGAGATCTTATTGCTATAAAATTGGGGTACTACTATATATATTACTATTATTATTGACTTGCTTTTTCCCTATCTGGGTATCTTACAAACACTTCTCGAATCTGTCTCTTTTGCAAGCTTCCGTATCTATGGAAAGTACACATCAACAGGCTGTTAATTTGTATTCATTATTATAAAGTTTACTGTAATAAATACTTTCTACTTTTAATTTTTCTGGCTGACACATTCTGTCTGTATTTATGAGGCACATGTGAGAACTGTCTTTAAGCAGACATCAGGAATGTGTTGTGGGTGTGTGGTTTAATAGAACTTTTTTGAACTTCCTCCTCCAGCACACCATTGAAAGGAAGTAAAGTATCATTTTTACTGAGTTTCCTGTAGTTCATACCATCCACAATTTCCAAAGTTTTATTTGTTTTTATTTTATGGGCACGAGTGTTGTTTGTCAGCATGTATGTATGTGTACCATATGTGTAGTACCTATAAGAGGCCAGAAGAGGGTGTAGGATCTCCTGGAACTGAAGTTACAGATGGCTGTGAACTGTCATGTGAGTACTGGGAACTGCACTCAGGTTCTCTGCGAATGCTCTTAACTGCTGAGCCATAACTCTAGCCCTATTATCCACCTATTTTTCAACTTTTGAAAACACTTCTTTCATCAAGAGAGCTCAACAAAAACAGAATCAGGGAGAAAGAGTGGACTGATTTAAGACCTCTCGATGTTCAATGGTGAGTTTCATGATTTCTCATTCTACTGGTTAGACAATTCTGGTCAAAAGCAATATGTTATTTCAATTTTAATTATATAAAATTAAATATAATTTAAAATTTAGTTCTTCTGTCCACTAATCAGACTTCAAATACTCAAGAACTAAATATACCTAAGGGTTACTGTATTGGATAAGGTTCAGATAGCACAGCCTTAGAAATATTCTAGTTTGTAAAGACAATATTACATTTATTTATTGTATGTGTGTATGTACTTGCACATGGTGTGTGTGTGTGTGTGTGTGTGTGTGAATGCTTTGGCATTCACATATGTTGAGGTCAGAGAACAGTTTGTGTGAATCTGTTCTCTCCTTCCACTGCGTGGGTTCTGTGTATCAAACTTAGGTCATCAGGTTGGATAGAAATGCCTTTAGCCACTAAGCTGTGCTGCCGATCCCAGAGATACTACCAGTCTTATTTTTTAATAAATAAGTGGAAATAAATCCACTATTTCTGTTCCCAGAACACTATCCTCAATGCATGTCGTATGAAAAATGAGTGGTTGGAAACCCATCCAGAAGCTTCCATCAGTGAGCTTTTTGAGCAGAAACAACAACTAGAGGAAATTATGACTCCCATCCTCACAAAAATGTCTACACCACGTAAGTTTCGGGCTTGAACGTCAGGGTATATAATAATTCAGTTCAGTTCTTTCTGAGATATATGATTTTAACTGTCTTTATTCCACTAATAATAACTGAATTCTTTTTGTA